AAATAATCTGTCCTTTAATAAAGTTATAGTAAAACCTCACAAGACAATATTTTCACAATCCAAAACCTATTTTCTTTTAATTTGTACATAGATACAGCTATGTTTTTTTGCATTAACATGATATTATTTTGAGACGATAATTTTAAATTTAAGGTTTTGTAAGGTTTCTGCGTGAGTATACGGGGTTTACACACTTATTTTTCAATCAGCATTGCGTATACCCACTTCTAAATCCCCAGTGATCAGCGCTATGCTCCACCTCCACTCCGCCCCTTGATTTTTGTTTTTAAATCTAAGTTCAAATATGAAAAAAGATGTCAATAATTCACGTCTAAAATGTTTTATTTAAATAAATGTTTAAAAAATAACTGAAACACCATGTTTGCCTCATCTGTATTTTATATCCATGCAGGCTGCCTGTGTGATCAGTAATAACAACAAACTGCTCCTATGTTAATTTTACTAACTGTTACCAATCAGCTGTTCAAAGAACAAAAGAAACTCCTGACTTGCTAAGAGAGAGAACAGGTGTGATAGATGTGGACTCAGGAATAAGGAACAGTTCACTCAGAATCCATCATTGTCTCTCAGTATTCTGTGGGCCAGCCTGAACACATTAAGCACAGGTTTGCATTCAGACCTGCTAGCTGTGAAACTGTTTATGGAGCTTGCTGGATATTTTCAGGAGGCTTAACAGTAAATCTTGTACATCAGCACCACATCGGCAGCTCCTAAAAACTTCAAGCCAATTTGTCAGAGAGTCTCTGTGGGCTCTAAAAATGGGGCAACATAAGTGCGACAGAGGAAATTCCTCTTGTCCCTCAAGTTTTTTTGTTTTTTTTTAAGATATGTTCATGTGAGTAATTCCCTCCCCCATTAAGAGCTTTCGTAATTGACTGCACAGGGTTAGTGTTTCCTGGAACTCCCTGTTTGAAGTGTGCTGTGTTTCAACCCTTCCCCCTCAGCTCTGACGTAACCACTGACTCTTTCCTGTGGGTTTCTCTCTCTCTCTCTCTTCCTTCTAGCCTGTCCGGTTCAACCCAGCCAGCCTGTGGGAGGGGAGGAGAGCTCAGCTGCTCCTGCTGAAAGGGGAGACATGGGAAACGCTCAAAAAAAGCCCCACAGCAGAGGGGACGGGGGTCCACACAGCGAGTCCAGCAACTCGCACCACGGGCACTGGAAGGGCAAAGGGGCGACCTCTGAGAAGTACAAAGTTCCAGAGGAATCAAAGGAGAAGGTGGCCAATGGATCAAGCAAGAGGGGCTCGACAGCTTCGGCGCAAGGTGATAAGAAGAGCAGCAGCAGTAAGGCGGCTACAGGTGGGAAAAAGGCAGAGGAAACTGTCAATCTGGACGCCCCGTGCGGAGCCCTGCCACCACACCTCTCCCGGCTAAAGAACGAAGGAAACCTGCTGTTTAAAAATGGACAGTTTGCCGACGCATTAGAGAAATACTCACAAGCCATTCAGGGCTACGCCGATTCAGGTGAGTCCTCACTGTCGACACGTCCTGCTGTGATAAGATCTAAGGTGGCAGGTAAGTGTGTGAGAAGTTAACTTCAGGGATCTGCTGGAATAGAAGTGTCACAAATGTGTTATAAACATGTAGGAACAAGAAATGGATGAGTCAGAATCAAACCGCCTCTTGTCTCCTCATTAGCCGAAGACTTTTCTCTGTGTTTTAATCACCAGTGAGACTTTGGTGACCACTTTGGCTGAAAATCAAAGGTTAGAAGGTGTCAGCCATTACTGCTGGTGCTTCTCTTTGATTTCCCATCATCTGAATGAAAATATTTAATAAAAAAAAATGCATAAGTCTCCCTTTGTCAGAGGGAAATGCTGTGGAGTGTCAGCTCCTGCAGTGGCTGCAGCAGCTATGGCTATTTCAGGAACAGCCAGTACATTTATCTGGTGGTGCGTTTAATGACTGTATGCCCTGAGCACTGCGTCACTGTTCTGTCTGTTTCAGCCTGGGCTAAGCCTCTCAGCTTTGGTCCGTCCAGGTCACATGACCACTAACCACTCACTGTGAACCTGGATCTGTCGCACTGCTGCTGTCATTTTTTACAGGAAGTGAGAGGCTGGATGGCAGAGAGCTCGTCCGCCACTGGAGGCATGCGGAGTTGATCTGGTTCAGAGTGGAAGCGCTTCTACACTTCATATGAGTGTATACAGACATACACGTCTCATAATGCATGCAGGCTCTCTACTGCTGCAGTTACAGAAAGCATTTGCTGAGACATCATCATAGCTGCTGCGTTGCGTCGTTATCCCTAATCTGATTTGATTTGAAGAGCTGGTATGCTAAGCTGCTCTGCTGGTATTTAGTGCAACAGAGGAATGATGCTTCGTCTACAACAGGCAGGCTTACTTCATAAGTCAGCCGCTGTGATGAAATGTTAACAAAAAAGAGATAAGAAAGAGGAAACATAAAAAATATTGGCTGCTAAGAGAAGCTGCTGCATTTTGAGAAGAGAAACTCTTATTTTTAACAAGAATTTTTTTGGATCATTTGGTGGATGCTAGTAAAAGATGTTAATGTTTAACGTGTGCATTTGAATTGTTTTTCCTTTTTATTGTTTTTTCCTTGGTTATGACCTTTATGGATGCTGGTAAAGATTCTCAGTCATCCAGGTCATAGTCATTCCAAAAAAGTTAAAAAACAATCCGTTGGACTTTGTTTCCAAGGTTGAAGACGTTTCCTTTTCCATCCAGGAAGCGTTTTCAATTCAAAATGTCAGAAATAGCGTTGAGTTTGAGGCTTTATACAGTAGCCCAACAAAGCCTTGTTTTTGTTTAGAAAACATACAAATTAAAACAGATGAAGGTGTCCGCCCCTTTGGAATGGGGGTCGTTTGGCTTCTTTTGTGAGCTTGTAATGCTCCATACCTGTCTAAGTCTCTGAAAGGGGGGTCGTTAAAGGGATTTGTTGAATAGGCGATTTCTTTTCTTCCCCAGTAAAGGTGCTGGGGCTGATGAAGGAATTAACTCGATTGCTGCATTGTAGGTTTTTGACAGCTGGAATCCACCCCCTCCGTTTAAAGTTGTTTTTTCTTTCTTAACATAGATGGCCTCCTTCATGTCCCTCTCAAACCACCTTATTTTCTTTGTCCAAAATGTGAACATTCTGGTCCTCAAAAGAATGTTCTTTGTCCATAAGCTGGACACCGTCTCATCCCGAGAAGGTCGTTCTTCTGTGTTGGGCCATGCGTCTGTGGAGAGGTTGTTTGGTTTCTCCAATATAAAGATCAGAGCATTCCTCACTGCATTGAACTGCATACACCTCTCCGTTTTTTAGGATGCACTAGTCTCTGTTAAAGGGTCTTGTTTGGTTTGAAATGTACTGGGATGTTGTGTTTGGAGAAAAGACTCCAGCAACATATGGGAATGACCTCAATGGATTTTTTTAAAGCAGGAATAGGTGCAGAAGTTATGTTTCCTTTAAAGTTTAAAACACACAAACTCAGATACACTGGGTTAAAGTACTTTAGATGGTTTTGGAGAAACCAAAAAAAGTTTTTGAGGCAATAACAGAGTCTGGAATCTGGCTTTTCACCACTGGTTGGTTTCAAGGCAAAAAAACAGAATTTCCGGTCTGTTTTTTCCACAAAACTGGTCCTCCTCTGTCTTCTGGTTCTCCCTCTGATGAAAGGAAAGCGCTCAGGTTTGTGAGACGCAGAACAAAAAAATCTTTCAGCTAAACTGAAATATGCCGCCGGCTACAATAGATAAAAGTATATTTAGAGGAGTCGCAGTGAAGATAAAGATCACTTCACCTCAGGGGCAATAAACTCCAGTCCTGCTACATTTAGACGTTTATCTAAATGTAGCAAACCTGATTCAGGAGACTGCGGTTCAGCATAAGCCTGTAGATCAGCCATCCATGGGAATCAGGAGGAGAATGCCTCATGCCAGTATGGTGGCATCATGCTGAGGGCCTGAGGTGACAAAACATGGAATAATGAAACAGAGCAGCACTTTCAGATTATGCAAACACCTCAGTGACATGTTGGTTAAAACTTCTGAATGATTTAACAAGTCAAACATCCCAAACACTTAAAACCAGTTTAACCTGAAAATGTTCAAGTGAATTGTATCTTAGCAGCTCTCTAAAGGATGTTTGACCAAACATTAGGGAGTCGTATGTGTATTAGTGACCCTGCATCTATAAATCTGTTGGTGCAGCTTTAGTATCAAACAAAATAACACATTACATTAGAAAATGATCTGAAAATAAGTGCATTTGTCTTTAATTTGAGCAGATTAATAAGATGATCTGCAAATGGAATGAGTTGTGTTGCCATAAAATAAGATCATTTAGTTTTAGTTTTTCTCATTCTAAACATCAATCATCTTAAAGGTATAGCCGAAGATTTTCTTTTTCCAGGGGGATCATCTAAATAAGTGGTCCTCCTAACTGTCAATCATTCTTTTGATATGTTTACTTAAGGCCGTCCTATGTGCTCGTCCCCATTTTCACCCACCAGCGGTGAGTCTGACATAAGCCGGGCTGACACTGTACGATTTTTTTTTGCCGTTTTCGGGCCGACTTTCCAGTCGGTCGAGAATTTTTCAATCGGGCCAACTTTCAGCGTGATCGTCCGTCATGTAGAGTATAGGGGGTAACGAGGAGCAATCAGCCTCTCACAACCACCTCCCGATCACGAATTGTGAAGTTGGGAGAAAATCAAACTTCAGTCGGCCATCGTAAGCCATGTTTGCTCAGCCTTGCCTTTGTCCAAATACGTTGTCGCCTTTTTTTTCTATTTAGGGCTTTCAGCTCAAAATTGCGCAAATTACCAAGGCAGCGTGTTTCGTTCTAGTGAGCTTCATATTCCTTTCCTACTCATTTGGCTTCTGGACAGATGAGTCCGAGTAGCGCCATCTCACTGCGGAGCTGAGTCTGACGTGGTTTTTAGATGTACAGTGTGAGCAGGTAGATTGCATCAGAGCATCGTGCTGCACAGTGTGAGAACATGCATTTGGAAACCCTGTGGTTTTGTCGTACAGTAGCTGCGTGCAACGATTGAAAAAATCCCACAGTGTATGCCCGGCTATAGTGGAAAAATCTTTTGGAAAGTAAGCCTGAATGAGCGATGCAAACAGCAACTCTTAAACATCTTGCACAAGAAGAAATGGTTCATGCACGCTCTCGCACACGTTTAATAGGCCTTCCCTCTCAGGAGCGGGTACAGGGTTGTGCATGTGCATTTTTTTTTTAAGTGGAGAGGGCGGGTCTTTTCAAAAAAAAAAAAAATCCTCCACAATACCTTTAATTAATCTGTAAATTGTTTCAAATAACTTCTCAAAACAAGGGGAAAAAACACAAAAAAAACAGACACACACAAAAAAAACTGACTCACTTATATTTAATTTTTTACGAGGATGGACACCTAAAAATTGAGATATAAACACAAACTAAAACAGTTTTTTTCGAACTCATCCGTGAAAACTTGCTCTTGTTATCTTTAGACCCACAAAGTTCTCCAGCTGGTATGAAAGTCTCTACAGTATTTTCTTTCCTGTGCCATAAACTGCCTAATAGCGTTAGAAGACGGTGCAGTGATTAGTGGCGCATGCAAACCTTTTTAAGCTGCTGTCATTCCACCTTTAAATGGTCTCTCTCCACACAGGTATCGACAGTCCTCAGGATCTGTGCATTCTGTATTCCAACAGAGCAGCATGCTACCTGAAAGATGGCAACAGCCAAGACTGCATACAGGACTGCACGAGGTGAGAAAGGAGCGAGAACGGCTAATCCAACATGATGGGAGAGAAGCTACAGTAGCTGATCCCAGTCATTAAAGGAAGGCGTGCTGAGATGTGCTCTGAGGGATGAAAATAACCTCCCATTTACAAGCCCTAAAACACTTACATGCTTACATAGAGGACTGGATTACAGAGAAGAGGCCAGGTTTAGAGATCTATACTGATATGTAATGTATTAAGTAACACAGATAGCGAGGGATCATGAAGTGACCCTCATCCGGATACATAAACACAAGCTCTACCTCTTGCGTTTGTTGCAGAGGCCTCAGACTTGATCCTTTGTGCTTTTCTATTTATACTAACCAGAGCCCTGGAGCTGCAGCCATTCTCCCTCAAGCCCCTCCTGCGGCGGGCCATGGCTTATGAGTCGCTGGAGCGGTACAGAAAGGCCTACGTGGATTACAAGACCGTCCTGCAGATAGACATCAGTGTGCAGGCGGCACACGACAGCATCAACAGGTAGTCTGTCAGCGCGGCTGAGATGAACACAAAGACTCATTTACTCCTTTATCTGCACTACCTCTAATGTTTGAACCTTTACATTTCCAGAGGCTGACTTAAAAGGATAAACACACCCAAGTTTATTGAGTCTCGCAGAGATTTATTTTTATCTTGGGGGCTAATTGTGGCTGATAAAGTACATGTGCTTTAGTTTTATGCAATACATACAGTTGTACTTCCATTTTAAGTTAGAGGAAGTTGACACCACTTGCTCAAAATCACCCAAACACTCAAAGATAGAGTCATTTATGTTTTGTATTTAAAAAGTAGCATCAAATGATTTATGAAGGTCTGATCAAACATGGTG